GCGAAGGTCACCGACCCCCGCCGAGTCGGGTCCCTCAGTCTTCGGGGTGAGGCTTCCCAGGAGGGGGCGGGAGGCGCAGCAGCGCTAGCCGGGCCTGACTCAGGCCTTGGGCACCGAGGTTGACGCTCGGAAACGGGTCATGGAAGGAGCCTTCTCGGGAGGGGGTGTCAGATCTACTCCCCCGGGGCGGGGCCCGGAGCCGAACAGCCCCACGGGAGGAAGGGGGTGGTAGTCCAGACCGCCCCGCTTCCCAGGCCGGGCCTGGCTCACCCTGCTCTCTTGCAAGCGCCCCCGGAATGCCCTCTGGGTGTAGCCGGGGGCCGCGGGGAGATCCTGCAGTGGTGGGACAGGCCTCAGAGCCCAGGCAGGGCTCCGCGTCTTCCTGGGAGAGGGGGCCCTAAGAGCAGTAGGAAGTGGGGCACTCACGCAGGGACTCCCCAGGAGCGAGGGGGAATGGGGACCAGTGAGGAGAAACCCACGCCGGGGCCCAGTCGCCCTGGCCAGTGCCCCTGGAGCCAGGGCCCCTGCATGACCCACCGCCGGGGCGGTGTGGGTCTGGCCCTGCCACCCCGACCCTGGGCTGCCTCCTTCCGTCTGCCCGGCCTGGTCTCTCTGGTCACCCCCCCACCCCCCAGGAAACCTCAGCCACACCCAGGGCGTCTGAAAGAGGCTGAACCAGCGGCTCCTCTGCCCTAGGACCCCTGCCTGGGCCCCTCGGTGACCACCTGCTTTTGTCCCCCACTCGGCAGGCTGCAGTGCCCCCAGTGGACCAGGAGCTCCGGAGAGCTGGGGGTTGTCCAGCCCCCTCTGTGCCCTCGGCAGCCCCAGCCGGAGTCGAATAAGGACCAGCTGCTGCTCATCGCCCCTGCTCTGCCCCCCGCCCCCAGCCATGGCACCCTTGCTCGCCCTGTTCCTGGTGGCCCTGCCTCTGGGTGAGGTGGAGGGAGGGACAGACCCGTGGGGGGGGCAGGCAGGCTGGAAGTGGGGAGGGGGGCCACAATTCCCGATGGCCAGCTCTCCTTCTAGCTGTTCTGCCCTGGGGAAGGCGATGGGACCGGCGACCTCTCCCTGTGTGTGACCCCGCCCTCCTCCTACCCTGTCCCTGGTCCCCAGCCCAGGCCCTGGACTGCCACGTGTGCTCCTACAACGGCGAGAACTGCTTCAACCCCATGCGCTGCCCGGCCATGGTCACCTACTGCATGACCACACGCACTTGTGAGTCGGCGGGGTGTCCCCACAGCCCTTCCTGGGGAGACTGACTGAGGGATGAGGCTCCCGTGGGCCACAGGACCCTTTCTGGGAGCCCTCCAGATGAGTGGGTACCTGCGCTAATGGCCCTGCATGCCGGGGTTGGGGCGCCCGGCCCTTCTCAGGGTCCCTGCCAGTCTCCTGTCCTCTGCAGACTTCACCCCAACCAAGATGAAGGTGAGCAAGTCCTGCATGCCCAGCTGCTTCGAGACCGTGTACGACGGCTACTCCAAACACGCGTCCACCACCTCCTGCTGCCAGTACGACCTCTGTAACGGCGCCGGCCTCGCCACCCCAGGGGCCCTGGCCCTGGCCCCCATACTCCTGGCCACCCTCTGGGGTCTTCTCTGAAGCCCTGCCCGTCCCCTCTTCCCCCCAGGACCCACTCAAAGACAAAGCTCTGAGAGGCACAAGACGCACCCCCACCCCCCAGCCACCCTACATGCCCCGGCCCCCTCTGGCCTCCCCACCCATGTGGCCTGGCTCGCGATCCATTTCAAAAGGCTGCTTTGGAACTAGGTCTCCCAAAGGTGGCTGGCCTCAGTGCAGGAGCTGCCTCTTCTGTCCCAGGATGGGCCCCCAGCAGTGTGGCTATTAATAGGTCATTCAGCCAAGGAATCCCCGATGCCAGGGAGGTGCGCCCCAGCTCCCTGGCAGTCCTGGGGGGCGGGGGCAGGTGTGGCCGGAGGGCCGAGCGAGGAGGAAGGCCTTTGTTTCCAGCTGTCCTAGGGAAGAGCTCTGGGCAGCCTTGGTGTTAGACAGGAGAAGGTCCCAAGGTCTGGGCGGCTTTTACTAAATGCTGTTCCTGAGAAATGCCAAAACTAGCACAGTGTTTACAGACGCAGCTGTCACGGGATGAGCTTGAGCAGCAACCAGATGAGTTTAGCCACCTGCGATGAAGACGTTAACACGCTGTTAACAAAACTGTGTGTGTAAGCAATGGCTAAGCCTCCCTTCCCAGGGCCACCTCCTTTACTTGCTGCCAGTAAATAAAACTACCCAAGGACAGCCAGGTCTCCTCGAATAGAAAACCCTCAAGCGGTGGGCCCCTCGAGTTCCCTGACATTGGCAGAGAAGGAAGTGGCTTCACCTGAAGAAGCCCCTGAGGCCCCTCCAGCCCCAGAAGCTGAGGAGACTGTCCCTTCTTGCTCAGCCAAACCCTTGACCTTCCCCCACTTCCTCCAGAGGCAGTTGGCTGGTGCAGCAGAGGGGACAGGGGGTTGTCCAGGCTATATTTGGTCGGGCCTGAGCGCTAACCCCAGCCAGGGCTATTTTGGGCAGGGAGGAGGGAGCAGGGCTGTGGGCCACCCAAGTCTGGTGTTTAGGCCTGCAGAGCCCCAAGGAGGGCGCCCTTCACCACGGGGGCTGCGTATAACCTGGCCCTGGAGGGGATGTGCCCGCCCACTTCAGACGGCCGGGGGTAGGCGCCCGCGTGGGGTGGAGCTGGGGGCTGGGTTGGGGGCTGTGGGAGGGGCGAGTGAGGCTGCCGAGAAGGGGGCGGTTCCTGAGGTAGCTCCGCCCCCGGCTTGGCCCCAAGGCTGCAGGGACCGGCCGGAGGGGAGGGGAGGGGAGGGCAGGGCTGTTCTGTGGGCCCCGCCAGTCTTCTATGGGGTAAATCGGAGAGTGGCCTTCAGGTGCCCCGAACCCAGCCGGGTGCTGGGGCCCCTCCGAGGACCCAAGAATATGCATTTTTTAAAGCCCCCCCCACCACCAGGTGAGCCCATCCCCGGCCAGGCTCGGGAAGTACAGGTCTGCCCCGCACTGGGCATCCTGGATACGGGTGGCCACCCTCCCTGTGAGGCGGTGGCGCCCAGGGCCTCAGGCCTCCTCACCTGACCAGTGCCCCGGCCCCAGTGGCAGTGCCCACGTGGTGGGGGTCTCTGTTAGTCCCAAAAGGACCCTTGTCAGGGGAGACTGCTGGAAATTCCATCTTGAGAGCTTCACTGCAAGACCATGGGGGTTCAGGGGACCGGGTCACCCTGGGGGCGGGGCCTGGGTTGCACTTCCCAGAGGGTCTTCAGGGGCCAGCCTCACTCTGGGCCAGGAGACGGGAAGGAGCCCCTGGGCTGGATGAGTGCCCAGCTCAGGCTGCAGGCCAGGACCCCACTGTCTCCTCCTCCTGCCCCCAGGCCCAGTCAGGTGTGAGCCCCTCCCTGGGGAGGCTGGGTAGAAGCCAGACCCCCCCCCCAGGAGCTGTTGGCCTCAGGGAAGTGACCAAGCTCTGTCCCCCTTCCCACCACCCCAAGCTGGCTGCCTTGCCCGCACAGGCACAGGCGTCAGGATGCTGGCCGGGAGCGGGGGGCAGAGGTGGACTGATGTGGGTCTCCAGCCCCAGCAGCCCCTGATCTCCTGATCCAGCTGGAGAGGCCTGGGAAGACATAACTGCTTTGCTGGTGTGAGTCCTTTGTCCTGGGTCAGGTGGCATCCTTGGCCAGGGCTGGGAGGAGCCCAGGGCCCAGGCCCTCCCTCCCTCCCATCCCCGTGGGTGATGGACTAGAGCTCTGCCTGGCCACTGGGGGGCTCTGGGGTCGCTGAGAGCAGGATTCCAGTGGGAGCTGGGTGTGCTGCAGTATGGGGAGCGTCTTATACCCGCTTCCCACGTCCATCTGTCCATCTCTCTCCCATCCCACACCGATGACACTTCCCCCAGCCCCGGGGGCCATGCTGCCGTCCCCCCACCGCTGACGGGGCCATGCTGCCGTCCCTCCACCGCTGATGGGGCCATGCTGCCGACCCCCACCGCTGACGGGGCCATGCTGCCGTCCCCCCACCGCTGACGGGGCTCTGGAACCCAGCATGGAGCACACAGAAGGCATGCAACGTGCCAGGCCAAGCAAGCCCTCTGGTGGGGAGTGTGCATCACTGCATGATAACAGGATCCGTGGAAATCAGGCCCGTCAGCTTGTGCCACACTCGCATCTGTCCGGTTTCCCCGTGGTGGTGGCTCGAAGCTCCACGACAACTCTGCAGGGCAGGTGCCACTATTATGCCCCTTCCGCCAGTGACGGGACTGAGGCAGGGGGTGAAGTGGTTGCTCGCAGGCTGACCACCCCAGCCAGGGGGCTCAGCACCCCAGGCCCTGGGGCGGGGGGGAGAGGCTGGGAAGGCGGGTTTATAAATGTAAGAGCTTCTTGGCGAGTTAGGTAAGTGTGAGAGCTCAGGGTCAGGAGAGCTTGGAAGGAGGGGGCTGGGACCAGAGCTTCAGGAAGCCTCGAGGACCACGGTCAGGCGTCCGGCCCCAGGTCTGGGGGCCGGGCCGCGGGGCGGAGGGGCGGGAGAAGGGGGCAGGGGCTACCAGGCGGCCAGGGCTTGCCCCACGCCTGTCAGGACCGTGGGTGCAGGGCTGCCAGGCGGGCAGTGGGCATTCCTACTTTGGGGACCTCTCCAACTTGAATGAGATCCCCTCCGTACAGATGCTGCTCGGGCTCCGCCTGCAGCCCTGTGTGGTGCCTCGAATCTGGCAGCAGCCTGAGTGCCGCAGGAGCGGCTGGACTGTGCTGTGGCACCGCCCCGGAAAGTTCCATTACACAGTCGCCTTAGAATGCGGCCGGGGCGGGGCCGGGGCCGCAGGCATCGACCTGAGTCTGGTCAGGCCGCGTAGGCAGCGAGAAGCCGGGCCCGTCAGCCGACGGCTGCTCCATCTCCCCCCGGCTAGCGTCTGACTTGCTGCGATGAACACGTATTTTATTCATAATTCTGAAACGCTGAGAAGGGTAAAAAGAAATCGAGAGGCCCCGTCCTTCTTCATGCTCGCCCTTCGGCGAGTTTTGTCGGATCCTACAGCTCAAGGTGGTCCAGAGCTCATCGGAGCCTCGCCGTCTCACCGACAGAATGAAATGACAGTCCTCACTGAGCTGAGGCCTCATGAGAATTAATGAGGCTGTGGGTGCAAGCGTCCAGCCTCGGGGCTGGCACACGGGGGACCCCAGATGGATAACTGGACAGACCAGTAGATGGAGGGCGCCCCTCCCCTTCCGCCCTGCTTCCCGAGGTCCGGGCACTTCCCAGGGCCATGCCCCTGCCCCTGGCTAAGGCTCAGCCCAAGCCCTGACCCAACTCTGACCCCGACCAGTATGGGCATCTGCCTTTAGGCCAGGTCCCCTCCTTGACTCACGCTGTGCACCTCCCAGATCACAGGTCCTGTCAGCATCTCACCTAGCAGTGAGTAAATGGATGAATACCTGAGTCCGCCCCTCTCTCTGCCCCCGCCAGCCAACTCGGCTGGGCTCCGCCTCGCCTTTCTGGGCTGCTCTGGCTGGTCCTGCTGGCTCTTCGCCCTGGCTTATCCAGTCTTGACCTTGGAGCAAGCTGGAGGGGAAGACCCGTGGGAAGGGAGTGAGCAGGATAAATAGGGGGTTCCTGAGGTGCCCCGCCTCACGCCTCGGGGGGCGGGGGGAGGAGAGAGAGAAGGAGAGAGAGAGAGGTTGAGAGGTTAAGAGGTGGGACCCCAGGAACCCACCCGCCCCAGCTTTCTGGCCCCCGACCCCATTCCACCTGGGAGCAGCCCCCAGCCCTAAGGAGCCCACCGGGTAGAGGGTGGACAAAAGCCACTGGGCAACCAGAGCAGACACACGGGGGCCCTGGGCTGGCTGGGCCAACACCTGTGAGCCGATTTGCTCTGCCCCATGGTGCCCGCATCCCTCCAGCTCCCGGCAGGATGGCCGGTCACTTCCGCAGCTGGCCCCTGCTCTCAGGTGTTGCCCTTAGGGGCTCTCACCCGTCATCAGGTCATCAGGCCCCTTTCGATACCAAAGGCCTTTCTGCTGCCCCTCCCCCAACTGCGGAAATACCCACGGGTCCTGGGCAGTGTCATCATGGTGATTGATAACCACCACCCCTGTCACTGCCGGCGAGTCAGGCTGCGGCTTCTGGAGGGTGACCCATTGACAGATGGGGACCTGAGGGCACTCGGAGGGTGGCGGGGGGCTGGTCGTCTAGCTCACCCCGCAGGGGTGGGGCGGTGCTGGCGGTGGCTTCAGGGGTCTGCAGACCTGAGCCCCGCTAAGGGGTGGGCTCCACATTCCTCGCACCCAAGGACGCTCAACCATCAGGCCCCGGGGGCCAGGCCGGACCCCAGCGCTGCCTGGTGTGAGGGACAGAGACACGTTTTTGTTGAGAACAAGAAGGTAATTTTGCCCTAGAGTGAAATGATTGTTCCAGAATGAGAAAGGGAAAGATCGGATGGAAGTTAATTGGATGGAGTAAGTTGCAGATGGTCCGCGGAAGTTGCAGAAGGTCTAGGAACGGAACAACGACACTGGCCATCCAATGGCCGTGGGCGCGATGAGAAGACGGGCCTCTGGACTGGACCAAATAAAAGCCCGTCCTGGCAGAAGCTTGACAACTTTCATTATTAACGACTGTAATGCTTTAAATCCTTGGTCTTCTGACAAAACGATGTCATTCATGAATCAGTATTGCTGGGGAAACATTAATAAGGCCTCAAAAAGCACTCACCTTGCTTGCCCCAGGAGCCTAATCTTGGGAACCCATCCGGGACACGTTAAACTCCCTAACGGACTGTATCTAGCTACTCCCATCTCGTGCGCACAGTTTGTCTTGGGAGTGACTCGTCTGTTTTCCATGCAGACAAGCCACTGCCCCTTCTGTAGCTCCAATCCTCCTGGAAGGGACCTACCTGGGGGACCTCCCTCGAGAAAGTCAACTATGACGGCAAAGCCAGGGCGTTTGGCCAGTGCCGCGGCATTCCCGCTGTGCTCATCACCCTCGGTCTCTGTGGCCGGCATCATCAGAGGCAGCTGGTGAAGCCCTCCCAACGCCTCGGCCAGAGGCATCGCTGATGGTCCTTCTAACTACGGGGGATCATTATGGGGAGCCCCGAAGCCAGCTTTTCACTGTTATGAGAATAGTTTAAAGGTCTAACTATACCCTTAAAAATAGCCACGCTTCAGTAAAGCGGTCTCCTCACAGTGTGACAGACCTTGTCACTCTGCCACCTGCAGATTCTGCTTATCGGAAAAGATCGCCAAAAAGACTCTCCGCCCTCGAAGGAAAGGTCTGTATCGGTGCCATTAACAACCCCTGCATCCGCTGGCTCTAAGGAAGAGATGCTCGGATTCACGCTCACACCTGAAGAAAGCCCCCAGAACCGCACGGCCCTGCTCCCCAACCGGCGATCTAGAACTAGAGGTTCGGGGACTTGCAGCAGCCGGCATCGGAGGCACGGCGTTCCGGGGTGACCGGCGCGGGCCTACGGACCCTCCCCGCTGCTTGTTTGCACACGCCTCCTCTTTCCCGGAAGGATGGCGCCCTCGTCCGCACCTGCCAGCCCCTCCCTGGTCGCTGGGCTGGCGTCAGAGACCTCGAGCCACCTGTGAAGGCGGTGACCCCGCCTCCTCCCTGCCACCAATGTGTCACTTGTTCCTAACGCGGCCGCTCATCTCACGCGGGGTCCCCTGGATGTGACCTTTCGAGGATGGCCCCTGCACACGAGGCCCCCACACCCGGCGACGACAGCAGCCTCCCGCCGGATGTGGGGGACTTTGCGTGCAGCCACCTCCTTCGCACCCTCATCCGTGTAAGCTCTGCCCGCGGAGCACCGTGAGCCCCACCCCACCCCATGAGCGGGACCTTTGAAATCGGAGGCCCCTCCTAGAACATTCGGGGAGTGTCGCTGACCCCTGGCCTCTTGAGCGGTTTAGCTGGTCACCTTCGGGTTCGGGCTCCTGGCTCAGGGCCATCGTGCAAACTAGATTTATTATTCTGCTCTTCATTTTGTTTTGGACAATTGCTTTAAAACTCTGTACTGGTTGCCTATTGAACCTCTGTGGAATCGATGCCCCCAGTAGGACGATGCTGGCCCAGCCCTTCGAGGAGACGTCCAGTGCTCATGACCTGGACGAGGTAGGAACCCTGAGCGGGATCAGATCCCTCTTCCCCCTTCCCCGTTACTCAGATGTGGCCTTCGGCGCTGTCCAGTCGCCGTACGTGTTCCCGCTGATGTGGGACATGACAACCAGGAAACGTCCTTCCTGGCATCCAGGGACAAAACCAGTAAATACGGAAAACCCTGATGCTTTTGAAGGAACATCTTGGTCAAGGTGAACATGAGCACAGGAAATGCCTTTCGGGGCGCAGCAGGAGCTCAGCGCGGCTCGCGTGGGCCGGCGGGGCGTCGGGGGTCCCTGGGCCCGGCAGCAGCGAGCGGCCCTCGCCTGTGGCCGCTCTCAAGTTCCTCCACTGGACTTTAGCTCGAAACAAACTTTATCCTCCTGGAAGTCTCCTGGAAGGGTGGAGCGGGGATGATGGAGACGGGGCTGTGGCGGCCCTGATGCCAAGGGGCCCTGTGGCCATGGGGGAGAGTACAGGCTGTCCCAGCACGCCCCCCGCTGCTCTCGGAGACAGGTGTGCGGACTGTGCACAGGGGGCGCTCACGGCGGCGTGATGTCAGCACTGTGACCAGCCCAGGGGCCGCTGGTACACAGGAGCGCGTCAGCGAGAGCCAGCCACACTGGGGTCCTTCTGAAGGGTCGGAAGAGGCGGGTTCAGCGGCTGCCTTGGGAGCCCTTCACACCGCGTGTGCCTTCTTCACAGCCAGAAGCACTGGCTTAAGATCCATCGGTCTGCTCTGCTGGGTGCCCCACAGGGGGGCAGTGAGCGGGAGCCCCGGTGGGGACACTCCTCGCCTACCTGGGGCTCTGCAAGGGCTGCCTGAAGGATACAGCCCCACAGGCAGGCTGGGGAGGAGGCCATTCCAGGCCGATGGGGCAACAATGGCTGAGCCCTCACGGCGACCACACGCTGGGCCCCAGCCCTGGTCACACACTGGGCCCCGGCCTTGGTCACATGCTGGGTCCCGACCCTGGTCACACATGAGCCCCGGCCCTGGAGGTCCCTGGAGGAAAGGAGACGAGGGCGGAGCCTGCAGCACGGCACCCAGGCAGAGCCAGCCCGGGCCCTGCGGCCACGTGGCCCCACCCGCAGCAAGCAGCTGCGGCTTTGCAGAAGGTTCCGCCTGGGTCTCCCCAGCGGGGCTCAGGCAGAAGCTCTAGGAGGAACGAGTGCTGTGGTGCCAGGCATCTGCTCCCCAGGGGAGTCCAGGCAGGGTCCCCGGGCCTGGGGACAGGAGGGCGTTGGGCTGGGCCACAGCAAAGGGATGGGCTAGGAGGAACCTGGGTGTGTGTGGAGTGTGTCTAATCCAGTTAGCTCACCTCCATCAGTGCCCGACCACAGCGAGGCGGCGAGGCCAAGTGTGAAATCCGATGGCGGCCGCTGTCTTGGCTCAGCCCACCCCAGGCGACCCGCCAGCCAGCCAGCCGCCGGGAGCCCCCGGTCCCACATCCACGGCACGGTCCCCAGGGCCGGTACCTCCAGAGCCGTGGCGAGGAGCGTAAGGTCCCCAGGAGAGTGTCAGACATGTGCAGGGTCTGAGGGAAACCCAGGTGGCCCATCCGCCCCAGGCCCCGCCCGGTGCCCATGAGACACAGGCCTTCCCATCCTGGCACAGACTGGACCCCAAGCGAGCCGATCGCTGATCTCCCGGGAAAGCAGGGGTGGGGGGTCCCAGACAGGAGCAGGGCACCTCGCAGGAGGGGGCGCTGGGAGAGGAGTGGGTTTGGGGCTGGGCGGGGTGCACGGAGTGCCCAGTGGGTCTGGGTGCGGCCCAGCAGGACCCTGGCCCTGACCCGCTGTGAGAGGCCCCAAGGCACTGTCTCAGCCCCACCCCAGGGTTTGCTCTGGCAGCTGTGGGACTTGGAGGGGGTGACAGGGTCACAGGCGGGCACACCCCGCAGAGGCTGAAGCGCAGGCACCCTGCCCTGGGGGTATATGTGGCTGGAGCCATGCTTGAATCACCCAAGTCAAGTACCCCTCTTTCCCAGCTCGGCCTTAGCCAGGGAACCTCCCATCAACTTCTAGGCCTGCAGTGGGGCGAGGGGAGCCCTGCCTCAGGGGCGGCCCCATTGGCCCCACTAGAGATCAAGGTAGACTTTGGGGTTGGCGTCCGCAGGGTGAACTTGCCCCGTGCCCACCTCCCTCCTTTAATCAAGATCTCCCTGTTGACCCAGCACTTTGTCTCCTCAAGCCTCCGAGTGGACTGTGGCTGGTTGTCCCCAGTCCACTCGGAGGCATCCCTACCAACCACGCTCCACCTGCCACTACCTCGAGGCTGCAGGGCGTGGGGCTCCACACCCTAGGAGACCTTGAACCCAGAGCCACTGGACCAGGTAGAAGGAGGGACCCAAGGCAGGAAGGTACTGATGCAGGTGGGAGGCGGGGGCCGGAGAGCCCCCATCCCCTGCCACGTCTCCCAAGTGGAGGGGAGGCCGGAGGCGAAGTGCCCCAGTGGCAGTTCCAGAGGGAATGATGAGCCCAAACCCTGAGAGAGGTCACGGGGACAGGGAGGGGCCCTAACCTGCAGGAGGGGAGGAATGAGGAAGGGGGCAGGGGTGGAGAAAAACCCATGGGGAAGTGGGGCATCCAGGTGGAAGCAGGAGGGGCCCCGGGGGCGGGTCTCAGCACCCCCACCGCCCACTAGAAAACCGATCCCTCTAATCTGCTGGGCTGACTGGTTGGGCGGCTGCGCTGTGTACCCGTGGTCCCTGGCAGACCAGAGGCAAGCGCGGAGTGGCCTTGTGGGGACTGGACCATGCTGGGCACACGGCTGGTGCTGCTGGCGCTGGTGCTGGCTTCCTGCAGCAAGCTTGGTGAGGGGCAAGGCATGGGAGGGAGGGGGACGGCGCCCGGCGTGGGACGGCCAGAGCAGGGGGCAGGCGGCTGGGGAGGCGGCCATGCTGTGGGGCAAACGGGGAGACAGGATGGAGGCTGCCACCAGGCAGACAGGGCGCCTTGGCCTGAGCCGGGGTGAGGAAGGGTGTAGCATGAGGGGGCCGCCCCAGGCTGGTGTCTCTGGCGAAGGCCCTGGGTGGGGGTGGGGGCTGCCCCTCCCTGGGGGCCACACGTACCAGGAAGGGCTTTCAGCCCAGGGCAAGAACCCCGCTCCCGTTTGGGGCCACGGTGCAGGACAGAGTGGGGGGCAGGTCTCAGGGGGCGCCTTGGGTAGACCGGGGAGGCGCTGGGGTTGGGGCGGCAGGGGATGGACAAGAGCTCGGCAGGCGCAGACACGTGGAGGGGCGAGGGCCTGAGGAACGATTGGCGGAGACGTCCCGGCCCCCGGGCCCCCCACCCGAGCAGGGGAGGCGCCGGGTCGAGATGGCTCTGTCTCCTTCCCAGAGAGAGAAACCGAGGTGAGCCCAAGACACAGTGACACCCCAGGGGGCTGGAGGAGCCTGTGGCCTCACTGTGTGCGTGGGCTGCTTGGGCCAGTTGGAGCCGGCAGGGCCCACTTGGGCCCCTGTGCAGGGGTGGCGCCCTGTGGCCGAGAAGAGGGACAGCCAGGGCCACCCCTGCCAGCCTGCGCCCTGACCTGCCTGGGTCCCACTGGACGGGGCGACCTTGCCCTGCCTGCGGGCACACTGGGCCCAGCCCGGCCGGCATGCCACATTACTCCTTGTCTGATCTAGAGACCCCCGTGTGGTCCTGCATTTTGTTGATGAGGACATCGAGGGTGTGACCTACCACGCCAAGGCCCCCTGCCCCTGCAGAGACACCAGTGCCCCCCAAAAGTTCCCAAGCTGCCTGTCCCTGCTTTGAGAGTCCATCTCCCCAGGGGCACCTCTGCCTCGGGACCTCCAGCGTGAGCCAGTGGGCAATGGCCGGGCCCTGGGTGGCATCGGCCCCTCATACCTAGGCCTCTGAGAGGGCTTGGGAGGGGCAGGGCCTGCCTGACTCAGCCCTCGTCACTTCTCGCCCAGCGGTGGCCCTGCAATGCTTCACCTGTCTCGAGCCCACCGGGGTGTCCGACTGTGTCACCGTCACCACCTGCAGTGTCAATGAGACCATGTGCAAGACCACGCTCTACTCCCTGGAGACAGGTCGGTGGGTGCCGGGCGGGCGGGGCTGTGGTCCCGGGGACGAGCTGCTCCAGCCCGGTCCCCACTGGTCAGTCGGGACCCCAGTGAGGAACCCCCGTGCGGGGCGCTGTGTGGCCTGGCGTGTCATGGGCACGCAGCCGTACTGGCGGAAGGAGCGGGGGGCTGGGTCTCGGGGGACCGAGCGCGCGGGCGACACCCCAGCCTCAGGCCGGCGCTCCGTCCTTGCAGTGTACCCTTTCCTGGGGGACTCGACGGTGACCAAGTCCTGCGCCAGGAAGTGCGAGCCCTCGGACGTGGACGGCATCGGCCTGACGCGGCCAGTGTCCTGCTGCAATGCCGACCTCTGCAACGTGGACGGGGCGCCCGCCCCGGGCGGCCCCCGCAGCCTGGCCCTCGCCCTCCCGCTCGCATCCCTCCTGAGCCTCCTATGCTAGAGCCCCCTGGTGCACCCCCGGCGCACCCCGCACCCCGAACGCCCTCGAAGAAGCTCGCCCACCTTCACCAGGCGTCCAGTCTTCTTTCTGGGCTCAGGCCTGCCCCTTGGGCGGGGGGGGGCCTCCACCTGCGTCTCCGCCGCCGTCACCCTAAGCTGGCGTCCCCCTCAGCCCCTTTCTCAGCCCCTCTGTCCCCCGCTCGCCTCAGCCCAGCCCCCCGGGGCTCCGCGGCTCTCGCTCCTCACCGCCATCCCCCCGTCTAGCCCCCTGTGGTACGTGAAGACAGTCACTAGGCCTCGGACACCCACACAGACCAGATGGGGCTCTGCCCACCGGGCCCTCGGGGGCCATGAAGGCCTGACCGTGCGCCCCACTGGGGCTGGGCCAGGGGCCCTTCTGGAGGAGGGGGCACTAGGGCAGGTGTGGATGACGGGGACACTGGCTGGGTGGCAGGGAACGCGCCAGGTCAGGCGGAAGGTAGGTCCAGGCTGGCCAAGAGTGGGCCGGGCCGGGATGGCTCTGCGAAGCACCCCACTGGCCGCACGCTCAGCCCCTGGGCAAGGCCTTACACTGTGCTCTGGCCTGTGGTGACATGGTCACCCTGCGTCGTGTGGCAGAGGGTGCTGAAAGGAGCTGGCAGGGAGTCCCCAAGTGCCTACCATCCGCCTCTCCAGGCTCACCTTGGACAGTCCCCCCGGGCCCCGCTCCCCGAGTGCTCAGGGAGACTCAGCTCCAGTGCAGGGGGGACTGTTACTCCACCTTGGCCTTGGGGCAGCACCGAATTCTCCAGACCGTGTCCTGTCGCCTGCCCTCATCCCCAGAGGGCTGCCTGGGCCTGTCTGGGTGGAGACTTGGCACGCATGCGTGTGTGCACACAGCCCTACATGGGATTACAAACACTCGGCTCAGGTCCGGGCCCTGCGGCCCAGGGCTGCCTGGGTGGGGAGGAGGAGGTAGAAGGAGGCAGGAGGTCACCTGGCAGGGCCCTCGTTCACTCTGGGACCTGCCTGTCCATGCTCTGGGCCCCTGTGCGAGATGACCTCCGGGGCCTGGGAGGGCCACCCCGCAGCCAGCATCGCCAGCCAAGCTGAGACGGGGCTGCATACGCGCCCTTCCCCGGAGCGCCGCAGGCCCCCCTGACCCAGAACCCTGAATCCAGACGGCCCCTGCCCCTCCGTCATTGCCCCCTTCACAGACTTCCCGCTCCTGGATGGATGTGAAGCAGGTCTGTCCCGGGGCGCGGGGCCCGTGGCGACGCATCACCGGGTGACAGCAACCCCACACCTGAGGAGGGGCGGGGACCAGTTTTCTAGGAGGCCGTCCCC